ACAGTGAGTCCAATCAAAATGAGGAATTGATATTAGATTATCTCCCCCTAGAAACTTATTAACAACAAACTGTAACTTCACATATATTTTACTTAATATAACATGTTTTAATTGAAACAGATGTCTGGTTCTTATAAATATAAGTCTTTTTAATAGAAAAATAGTATGAAAACAGTTAGGACATTTATATATTTAAAAGGCTCTTTACTATAACATTATGTATAGAAATTTTCAGCAATAATTAGGTCAAAAGCAATGAAGTGGAATTCAAATAGTGTGCTTTATACTATCACTTTGATGACTTGACTGTGGTTCTTTTAAGCAGTTGGTTAAAAAAAAAAATTTGAGCAATAATCAATAACTTTACAAAACTTTGTTTGATAAAGGTCAAAGGTCAAGGTCACAGCAGCTATTGATACAATGAAATTTTGACAAAATTCTTGTTTCTCAATGTTATCATTTTACTAAATCCAGCTTATTAAATTGGTAAGATAATGCCCCATGGCATAAGGAAGTCTATTAATTGTGGAGTCAAAAGGTTGAACGTTAAAGTCACAGCAGCTATTCAGACTGGAATTTTGTTTCTAGAGGTCCTCTTTTAAGTTGTATGTGCAACTTTCACCAAATTGATTCCATTAAGCCTCATAGGGTCTGGAAAACCCTTTAAGTTTGTTTCATAAATGTTTAACTTTACCCATTTGTTCAAACTCACTTGTAAATGCTACTTGGAATGAAGAGGCATTATTGGTCTGTTGTCAGGAGGTCAAGGTCACAGTTCCATCCAAAATCAATATCTTTTATAAACTTGGTTTGATAAATTTCAAGGTCACAGCAGCTATTCCTAGATCAAAATGTGGGCAAAATTTTGGTTTCCAGGTGTTATCTATTGAACCATATGGTCAATTTTTTTTTCAATTCTAGGTTCGATAATGGTTCTTTTGATTTTTTGGGGTTGTTAGTTTAAAGGTCAAGGTCACAGCAGCTATTGATAGACTAAAATTTGGGCAAAAGTTTGGTTTTTCATCTCAAACCTTCACTAAATTTACCTTGAAAATTCCCCTTTTCATACACTCTGTAAGTTTGATTTGATTCTAAACCCCAATGCAAGCTATCAAGTCAGTTAGTCTCTAGTCTTTACTGACCACCAAAGCCCCCCCCAAAAAAAAACCCCAAAAAAAACCCAAAACAATGAAACATAACAAAACAAACAAACAACAACAAATAAAACAGCAATTAGCACAGGTGAATTTCAGAACAAATTGTCAAGAGGGTTTTTTGTTTTCCTAAGGAATTCAGTTTGTATTAGGCTCACGCATCACATAGACCATTTACAAGTGAATCTCAAACACCCCATTACCAGTTTAAAATATTCCACACTACAGGTACATCAAAAAGAATTTACAGACACTTACTAGGGACCTTAAAGATTAGCCTATTGAAATCATATTGGTATTATCACAGTGTGATTAAACCCATGGACTGGATCAGAGGTGAAGCTCACAAGCCATCCAGATGTATTTCAACCATTGGTTCCACAGTAACATTGGAATAGTACTACTCAATCCTTTTCCATAATGAATTGTTCAAAATAGTCAAATTAAGGGAAATGCGAAATATTGAGCATTTTATAAACAATAGGACTAAATTCAGCACATCTTGATCAATAATTTATTAAAGGCTGCATGAAGCCTGTTTTGCTCACCTGGTTTTTAGGCATAACTTTGATAAGGCAGGAAGACCATTTATGGTGAATGGAAACTGTAGGCTGAAATCTTGTCTTGCTTATCAGAGTTCCATGCTATCTAATCATATTTTTAAAGATATTACTTAAATAATTCAACAGACGATCTTGGCATTTGTCATTTTGGGCCTTTTAATTCTTGATGTCTGGTATGGGATTTGCTCGTTGTTGAAGGATGTACGGTGACCCAAATTACTAACTTCTACTTCATTTGGTCTCTGGTGGAAAGTTGTCTCATTGGCAATCATACCACATCTTGTTATTTTCATTTTGACTTATTTGTAGATCTTATTTTGCAGATCCTTTTTGCTATCTATCTACTACAGTTTCTGCCCAAACTACAGAAATAGCTTAAAATCATCATACAGTGGCAATAGCTGCTATTAGTTGTCTGACTGAACTTGATAATATGGCATCAAGACCATTTTTGTTGAATGGAACTTGTGTGGGCTAAAATCTTGTCTTGCTGATCAGATTTCCATTCCATCTATTATATTTTAAACACTGAAATATGTCAAAAATTATCATTGTAAGACAATAACTCAGCAGCTGATTTCCGCATTCATATTGACTTATTTGTAGATCTTATTTTGCTATTTACAGTATCTCTCTATCTAATATAGTTTCTACCAAAACTACATTAATGGGTAAAAATCAATTATACAATGGCAATTGCTATTAAGAGTCAACTGATTATTTATACCTTGTTTGTTTATTTATAGATCTTTTTTCGATGATACCTTTTGCCATTTACAGCTTCTCTCTACTATAGTTTCTGTTAATAACACAAAAAAATAAAATGCTCCGCTGGGGCGCAGCTTGATACGACCGCAGAGGTCAAACCCTGAACAGTTGGGGCAAGTATGGACACAACATTCAAGCTTGATACAGCACTGAATTTGGATTGTAATTAAATATTTGACACAGCATAGGTTTCTGACACAGAATGAAAGTGGTCTAAGAACTTAAAAAAAATTAATTTACCTATTCAAACCATATCATTATTATTTGCTTTTATATATAAATCAGAAATAACCAATTTAAAACAGAAAATTCTAAAGAAAAAAAAGAATAAAAAAATGCCCCCCCCCCCCCAAAATTTTTTGAACCCCCTTATGATTCAACACCCCCAAACTCACTCCCAGCCTTCCCTTTGAGGTATGGTACCTTGCAGTACAATTTCAGAGAGATCCATACACTTGAACACAAGTTATTGTCTGGAAACTAGAAAACTGCTTGTTTTTGGGCCCCTTTTTGGCCCCAAATGCCTAAACGTTTAGGGCAATTACCCCCAAACTCAAACCCAGCTTTCCCTATGTGATATGGAACCTTGCAGTACAATTTCATAAAGATCCATACTCTTACACACAAGTTATTGTCCTGAAACTAGAAAAATGCTTGTTTTTTTGCCCTTTTATGGCCCTTAATTCCTAAAATTTGAGGGAATTACCCCCAAAATCAATCCCAGCCTTCCCTTTGTGGTATGGTACCTTGCAGTACAATTTCAGAGAGATCCATACACTTGAACACAAGTTATTGTCTGGAAACTAGAAAAATGCTTATTTTTGGCCCCTTTTTGGCCCCTTCTTCCTAAGCTTTTTGGTCAATTACCCCCAAAATCAATTCCAGCTTTCCCTTTGTGATATGGAACCTTGTAGTACAATTTCATAAAGATCCATACACTTACACACAAGTAATGGTCATGAAACTAGAAAAATGCTTGTTTTTTGCCCCTTTTTGGCCCCTAATTCCTAAAATTTTGAGGCTATTACCCCCAAAATCAATCCCAGCATTCCCTTTGTGATATGGAACCTTGTTATACAATGTCAGAGAGATCCATACACTTACACACAAGTTATTGTCATGAAACTAGAAAAATGCTTGTTTTTTGCCCCTTTTTGGCCCCTAATTCCTAAAATTTGGAGGCTATTACCCCCAAAATCAATCCCAGCATTCCCTTTGTGATATGGAACCTTGTGATACAATGTCTAAGAGATCCATACACTTACACACAAGTTATTGTCATGAAACTAGAAAAATGCTTGTTTTTTGCCCCTTTTTGGCCCCTAATTCCTAAAATTTGGAGGCTATTACCCCCAAAATCAATCCCAGCATTCCCTTTGTGATATGGAACCTTGTGATACAATGTCTGAGAGATCCATACACTTACACACAAGTTATTGTCATGAAACTAGAAAATGCTTGTTTTTTGCCCCTAATTCCTAAAATATGGAGGCAATTACCCCCAAAATCAATCCCAGCATTCCCTTTGAGATATGGAACCTTGTGGTACAATGTCAGAGAGATCCATACACTTACACACAAGTTATGTCTGGAAGTTACAAAAATGCTTATTTTTGGCCCCTTTTTGGCCCCTAATTCCTTAACTGTTGGTACCATAACCCCCAAAATCAATCCCCAGCTTCCTTTTGTGGTATTGAACCTTATGGTAAAATTTCATTGAGATCCATTCACTTAAACTAAAGTTAGAGTGCGAAAACTAATGTGTCTTCGGACGACGACGACGCCAACGTCATACCAATATACGACCACAAAAATTGTTTTGCGGTCGTATAAAAATAGGGTTTGCCATTGATTTCGAAACTGCAGTTGAGATTCTTCTCAAAGTACAAGCATACATTTGGATCAACCTTTTGTTTTCTATTATACCATTCAATGACATTAACCTTTGACCTTGAATCACTAAGGGTCACTAACTCAATAACAATTATTATAACAAATTTGATAAGAATGGACTTATATCTCAAGCCTTCAAGATTTTTCCATTATGACGTCAAGTAATCAAGACATTGAGTTACTAGTACTCAACTCATTTAAACAAGAAATTTTCTACCTTCAATGAACAATCATTTGGTCTCTGGCGGAGAGTTGTCTCATTGGCAATCATACCACATCTTCTTTTTTATAAAGAGGATGTGTGACTCCGGCTCATTTCGTTCCATGAAGGATTTAAAAGGTGAACAAAATTAACTTACTGTGGATTCCTTATTATTCGTTGGATACCAATTTTCGTGGATTTCGTGGGTACATGGAAACCACGAACTTAAATCTTCAACGAATTGCAAATTTGTTGTATGATTATATGTAGACTATTGGAAAACCACGAAATCAAATATCCACGAACATGCAAGTTTTCCACAATCCACGAAAATTGGTACCCACGAAAATAAATGAATGCACAGTATTCACATTTCATCAGAACTACAGGGTACTTGTGGCAATCTATAATTAAAGCTAATCATTTTATAACAAAGTTTATTTCCACATTTAAAATGTGACAATTTAAGCACCATTTGTTTCGAATTCAAAATAATTGTACAGCTCCCAGAATAAATACATTCACATGTTACAATTATTATAAAACCATACAAATACATCAAACCATGTTGCAAAATAATCACATTGACTAGATTAAAATTCGTTATCAGCAAACATTGTACATTTTGCACATGTGAAATATTAATGAAGGCTTGTAAAATAACAAAAATAATTGGTCCTTTTAAAATATAAACAACCTGTCACATTCATGAAAACTGTTACCGTAACAACTATGGTAACAGAAACAATGACTGACATTTTGACTTGAAATTAAATTCACTACTACTCAACTCAAAATCTGTCACATCTTGACAACACCCCATTTGGAAAGTCTTTTAAATTAAAAAAAATCAAAAGCTTAATGGCCATTGAACTGCTTGTAATAATTTACTATAATCATTTAAAACAAAAGGTCTGCATCAAAACAAATGAAAAGTATAAAAAAATATCATTTGAACATGTCCAAATTGAAATTTGAATAAGGTCTTATTTAGCTCCTTTTGACTTTTACATATGAGGATTGGATCAAAATTAAAAAAGCCAATCCAAATCGTCAGCAAAGGAACAAATACAATGAGAAGATCTCCTAAACATAGAATGTTGTTCCATATCTTTGAAATTATATGTTTATAAAAAATTGTTTCTCGTTATTGTGCTTTCAAAAATGAATAAAGAGAAATAAAGTTTCTATCAAAGACTGCATTTTTAACATTCTGAAACTTTGAAAGTCATCAGAAAAATGCTTTGTCTGGTCACTCTCCAAAGAATATATACATGATAAACATTTTTTCAAAACGATAGCATGAGATAGTAAACTTGTAGTTTAGATAATTTAATTATCTCAAATCATATAAACATGGATTACATGTACTTATGTAATACAGAAGAACTAAGTACGAAAAAACAACAACTTCACAATAACATCCAAACTCAAATATAACACTACAAACAAAACATGAAAACAATCCAAAGTACACTTACACAAATGACTTACAAATAAAACAAATACTAAATAACTTATGAAAAAATTACATGTCAGACTTGTACTAGAATACAACTTCAAACGTTATTGACAGCAACCAAAATTTTATTATGGTTTTTTCTCTACACACATATACATTGTTGTGTTCCCTGCATAATTTGGTAACTATTTTTCTGTATCACCACATGTGAAAAAATGGGGGGGGGGGGGGGGATGAGATGGGTAGAATGAACATCTATAATTTGTTACTCTTTTCAATCTGTTGGAAAATGAAATTTGTCATGTACAATGTAGCAAGATGGTTCTTACATGTATTAACTTATTGACACATGTAAATACACACAAAATGTATGTTCATAGAAGTCAGAGCCCTAAATCATTATTAAAGAGAACAAGGAGAAATTTTCATAAAATTTGAATGTTAATACAGTTTACAGTATTTCTACAAACCAGGGATTACTTTCATCCACATGGGAAAGTGTTTCAATATCCAAAGGAGGAAACTCTTTGTCAAAGTTATGTAACACACATTGTATCAATGTAGGAAGATATATGCATGATATACCCATTCCCATTTATGTGTTCTTGAGATCTTACAAAAGTGTGTACAAACTGTTCATCGATTTATTTTCTCTCATACAAAGTCTTAAATTTGACATATTTTTTATACAAGTTTAAATTTTTTAATTCCTATATAAATATGTCTATGTCTGGTGTATTACTAGAATATAATAATTTAAAATAAATAATTGTATTTCCTTGAAAATTGGAAGTTTTCAAATTAAACAATAATAAAATAAGCAAAATGCATGTATCCAAAAATGGCATCTCTCATATACTCATTTGTGTGATCAATTTAACAGTGTTGATCTACCTTGATTATAAAATAAATTGTATACAAATGTAAAACAAGTTTAGCTGAGTTATGTATCCTACTTCATTTTGATGAAATACATTGTCAATAGTGTAGATCCTTATTGTGCTACAATGTATTATGTCTACACTCTTAAACATTAAGCAGCTAGACAGCAAAGACAGTCTCACACAATACAACGTGCAATGTAAAATTCATACTTAGATTTATAGAAATAAGAAGATGTTATACATGTTCAATGTAGACTAGATGATAATAAGTATATGCATGTACCTTATATAATAACATATGACATGGTATTAATTCATATCAATCAAACTACAATGCAAATATTTCGGGGGGGGGGGGGGGGGGGGGACTTGAATTTCTATGTAGAAAGGAATTTTAAATCTTATTTTTACCCAAATGTAATTATCATAGTGAAAATCATATTATGATTTTGAGCCTAATTAACTCTCTTTATACTTAAGTTTCTAGTTCTACATGTATGCAAGTTATTTAGAGCACCATTGTATTAACAACAGACCTCATAAACTCATGATCATATAATATCAAATCACTGATGGAAAGATTGGAAGGGTAATTTGATTAATTTAAAATCATATTTAGGTATAGTCATGATGGTGTTGACAAAAAATACTTTATATAGCACTATTGCAGACAGCTGCATTTACTGCAGTTCTTCACAAAGATAAGCATTTTATTCAGTGGATAAAATTAGCTTAATGTGAGTTTATTAATTACAGTGATCGATCCCTTAATTAACATGACCCAACTTCTTTTAAATTGCAATTTCATATTTTTATTGAAATATATTCCCAGTTTCATGTTTTACATATACATCTTTAGAAACAGAAGAAATAACATTTATTGGCCCTTTCATCACCCCTTAAACCAAAATTTGTTTCTCAAATTGTACAAAAAAATCACTTTTAATAAGCATTAAATTTGAATAATATATTTCTCAACTTGAAATCACATGAGTTCAAACTTGTACATACATGACATTAAAGAGATAAGTATACAGAAATCATTATTTTATTAGCTGATTTGTATTCAATATTTTGGCAACTTTAATATCATGTATACTAATAAACGTAGATGCAGTTCAAGTTCATAACAGTCAACCTTTCACAGAAAATGTCTTTGGCACAATGCAATCTGAAGGCAATGGTTGCACACACAAAATTATTGGACAATCATAGTTAGGAATTAAAAGAATTATTTTATAAGATTTGAAAGTTTTTTTTATAATAAAATTTGTTGATAAATTCAAGTACATTTGTATACTTCAAACAAAACTGATATCACAAGAAATTATAATACTACTGCAATATATCACATGCAATAATATGATATAAAACAGTAAAAACAGGCAATTTTACAGACATTATTGTTTTAGAAAACATGGAAAATATAAGTTAAATTTGATAAATTTTTTTAATTAAAAGATTTTCTTTCACATATAATAACTTCATGAATTTGCAAATTAAAAAAAAATTATGATAAATAAAACATTTACATAAAATTTCATATCCATTATCCCTTTAATCAAATTTCGTAAGAGTTGCAAACAGTTTGTGTGTACATGTACATGTATACAATGTCCATATGTGATGTATGTTATAATATGTAATGTGAATAAAAGATTAATTGCTTTATCATGTTTATAGTTGATTCTACATAAAAGTTTGTATGTCTACAGGAAGCAAGCTTCCCCTGGCCTGTAAAGAATATTTTATACTCCCACAGTAACATGTACATGTATGTTATCTATGTCTACAGGATATAAATACTAATGTAATTTTGGCATCAGTGAACTTGACATCTAAATCAATGTTCAATTAAACAAATTTGTAATTATTTTTGTGAAAATACTTTTTAACGCATGTAAAAGAAGAGCAACATATTATATGCACATTGTGTTGCTGTAAGATAAATATCAGTGGTCACCATTTTTTTTTACTATGAATAAATCATTTATTGACTAATTTTAATTTATATACTTGCAATGACTTGTTAGGGGAAACTAAAAATTTAAGCCACTGTACACACAAAATTTCATTAATATTTGGCCACACAGTGGTATAAAAGCCATAACACACATACATGTATGTGCATATGCATATATACATTGTACAAGCTGAAAAAGAAAAAAATGAATCAGAGTTAAAGCCCAATTTACCTACATGTGTATTACATTGCAGTACATGTATAATAAACTGAAAGTTTTGTATATGCTCATTTTTGAATATTTGTAATATATAAAGACACATACAAATGTATGTAAAGCATACATTTATATGTTTGTACAAAAACCTCTTTTTATAATTTATAGTCCAGTTGCAACTTTGTTTTAATTCCCAACCATTCATCATGTTCATATCATATAATAAAGTAAAGTCCATGTACACTGTGTAACTGACCATGGAAGCAGGGATCACTGGTAAAGAAGATACACATTGTATGTACTTAATTACCATGGCAGTTATTCTAACCACATTTACATTGTACATTTAATTATTTATTACATGTACATTTGTATGTTAAGATGTATTTAACTTGCTTTAGTCATTTTAGTGTAAAATATATGATTTATAAAATATCTGTCTGTATGTTCTTGTTAATTTCTAACATGTTTAAATACATGTATACTAGACTTAAAACAGGTTTAGATTTTTCATAACATGATTAAAGTCAGATTTTAAACTTTGCTCTTCTAAATTGTTTGCCACAGCATGAAAGATCTGAAGACTTATTTACATGTATCATAAGTATGATAAGAGTCATGTCCAGTGACCTTTTGTCAAAAAAAGACTCATCCATTCTAATCTTTCCTTCAAAAGTTTTGGTATTTTTTACAATCATTGAGTATAAAATACATGTATATTATCAGGTAAATATTTCTATGTTCTCAACAGTCATGTGACAGTAAGGTTTCATTGTTTTCCCGTTTATCTATTATAAATCATAAGTGGATAAAACATTTATTCAATAGAATGTTGAAATTTTGATTCAAAATATTTTACCCTTTAATTTCATACTTTAAGGGAAAATTTGTTATCTACATGTAGTGCCAGCATGTCACTTGGAATAGTACTAGTTATTGGATTGATTAAAATTAACATACACTGTACAATGTTAAAAGGTCATCTAAATATGACCCCTTATTGTAAGGCTTCATCTGTTCATATCTTAAAAGTTGCAATAAACAAATCTATATTTGTAATGGAGCAAACTGAAAGATTATTTTTTATAATCAGTTTGAGTTTGTTCGCAACTAAAATTTATAAATTTTCTTAAATACATGTATATAACATGTATAAAATTCACCTAAATAATGTTATAAACAATATTAAAGTTACAAATGTACATGTATACAAATGTCTATTACAACACGTTCAATGAAAACATGTATGTATAACTATCATTATAATTAAAACTGGATATTTGTTGAGAAAAACAAACCATCATCACAAAAGAAACTTAGAGCTCTTATATGTAATAGTTTAATACACTTACTTACTTAAAGTCTTAAATACACACCACATACACAATGACTAAACAGTCTTTCTTAATTTTCTACTTTTAACAATAAATAACATTTCAAAATTTGTGGAAGTGGTAATGTTTCAATGTTTTGTCCAAAGTATTTTCCTTTACAACTTTCACTGACTGCTGTTCTCAATATCCTACGACATATTTGTTTAAGTGATGGAGCATTTCTTGTGTAATCATCAAGATAGCCTATAGCCGCAGCATTCCTTCCTGTGGCATCATGTAATGAATGTTTTACACATCGTATAAGCCACATTGGAACTCCTGCTAAAAGAATCAACCTCATCATCTCAAAATCTTTATATTTAGAAGCCCAGAATAAAGGACTGTTCTGGTATGAGGACACTACTTTAGGTCCGTCTAAATTACTTCCATTTAACACAAGTGCTTTAGTAATATTAGATGTCACCTTGTACATCATGGCAGTAATGAGGGGCGTGTAGTTATATCTGTCTGTGATATTCACACTAGCACCATTGACTATCAAATATTCCACAAGATCTGGCATTTGTTGTCTAGCAGCCACCCATAGGGCTGTATGTCCAAAATTATCTTGGGCATCAATATCAGCCCCTGCATTCACTAGGGATATAACTCCTTCAGTAAAATGCATCCTACACGCTGTAATTAAAGGGGGTTCTCTTCTGTTTAATTCATCCTTACTGACAGTGTTCAAGCAAGTTTTACCTCTCCTTTCAGAATGTCGCATTAACAAATTAAAGATATCAAAATGTCGCTTATACAGGGACAGTGACAAAACAGTTGCCCCTTTCACTAGAATGTTGAAATCAGCGTCTGGATGAGATAACAATATATTCCGAACATTTTGTGTATGGCCAGAAATAACTGCCATGTAGAGATCAAAGAAAATATGTGACTGATTGTAAAAGTTTATAGCCTGGAATGACCCAGTCACTAAAATACCTTCATTTTTCATGTTTTCACCTGATTTTGGCTGGAATGTACTATAGTCTTCCCGAGACACACGTTCGACTCGACTTAGCATTGTTGCTGTACTGTGATAGCACTATTTCTTGAATATCAGTTAGTAACTTTCTACAATTGTGATTACATCAAAGCAATACGCACGAAGCTTACGTCACTACTGCATTTCACTGAAATGTGATCTTATGCATAATCCCTACCCGGGTTTCATATTTCAATGGTAAGGGTTCGTGTTTCATAAATCGATAAATTCGGTGAATATGTGATCGTCCGTGAAAACCTTTCCATGAAATCGATGCATATATCAATTTTTTAATAGGATAATTTCATAATTTCATTCAAAAACAGGATATGCGTTTTTCCTGTGCGGTTAATCAAACTAAACAGGGTGACCAAACCCACAAATTAGTTGCAGAAGATATTGATGTTGATATCCGGTTAAGTGAACAAGTGCCTGTAAGGAACAAGCTTTTTAATTGGACAACTAAGGACGAATGATCCAATCAAACAGTCCAACATAAATAATTCGTACATTCCTTGCCATTTACCAAAACATTGAACAATTAGTATTTTGATATTATAACAACATTTCCAACAAAATACACCATGCCAACTTGTTTAAGAGCAAAATGTATAATCGTTGGTAAGTTCTAAGTCCATTAGTTATGCATAAAAGTCTCATTTGAATACAACATAGCCCTTATTTTACTTTTAAAGATATATTCTACATAATAATGTTCATGTATGGTCTACACGTCTGATAAATAGCCGGATAGCCGTTATCGTAAATTTTCTTTAAAACAGGTGTATCCTACTATCCACTATAACAACCACAAGGTAGGGCATGACTATCTGAAATATTGGAAAATTGTGACCAAGGCTCATCTAACTTGTTTTAAGTGTTTATCTATGAAAATCACAAATAATACATGAAATTCAAATTTCGATTTTATGAATGGGCTGACCTGGAGTAATAAGACATACACCTTATCGCTATGTGTCCGCCATTACTGGAGATCACAAAGGTGCCCGTAAAATTTTGATGTCACAATAGAAAATATCTGACGCCACAATGGAAAAGTGATTAATGTATGACGTCAAAAGTTCAAGTGGCGCAGATTTCCAAATAACGATAAGGTGTATTATGACACTAGGTTATTTGCTTTGTGACGCCAAATATTTCTGAGAAAAAGAACTATTTGGATCATCATGTATTCATATTAATAATCTAAGCTCTCAATGATTTTCCTTTTTAGAAATTATGCATGAAGACAATGCATGGCTATATATTTCTTACCCGTAGACAAGTTCCTATGCCTGAATTATGCCTAGACACTGCTAGTAGTCAATGTGAACTTTCAATATTATGCAATTGACATTCATGACTACAGTAAGGTGTAACTTTTTTCTCCATCATGTCCCTGTTTTCTTTTGGTTTGGTCTAACACGTATACAATGTAGGGTTAAGGCATTAGTATTATGAATTGATAGGATGAGGCCCTGCACAGTTCATGCCAGATCTTGCAATGGATTTCAATAATGTATTAAAAAGTTTGCGTTGGAGGAGTTTAGTAGTTACATCACTTGGCCAAGTACAAACTGGTATATCTTGGGATAAAATAAAGTGAAATATCTGTGAAGGATTTTTTGTCTTTTTAAAATCATAGAAAGTTGAAATCCTACTTTTCATTTGCAAAATATCAATAGCTTCTGTGGGACTGAGGTCAAACTAAACCTTTATTTGAAAGAACTTAAATTATTTTTTATCAAGTGATTGAATTAAAGGCAACTTATACTTTTAAACATCATAGAAAGTGTTATGACTTCATCAGTAATATTTTCAGGAGCTTTATTTTACTATTTTACCCTTGACATTTTTTTTCGGGGGAGGAAAGGAATATGTAGAAATCATCCTTTCTGTATTTCTGTCCATGAACATTGACAGAATTTGAGAACAACTCTAGAGGTACATTGTATTGTATATTCAAGTTGTCCTATAAGCATATGCAGGTACTGATTAACCATATTTATGTCATCTTTATAAAATCTAATAGATGAGTTTTGATATTTAGCCTTTTGACAGAAACCTTATAATTTTTTTCAGGTGACTCCTCTGTAGGAAAAAGTTCCATATGTCAAGTTTTTCACAGTGATGGATCACACTTTCCTAAGAATTACACAGTAGTAAGTTTATAATTTGTTAACCTGGTACTTGTCCAGTGACTTAATTTTCACGCAGTTAATCCAAAATCACTTTGTAGCATCACCATCAGATATAGGTACCCCTGTAGCGGTGGAAAAAACAAATGTGAAGTCAGGTGAGGTCAAATTCTTAAGCTTCTACGTTTTGCTGACAAGTAAAATTTTGTGATACTGAATGTAGCTACTATTTAGGACTGATTATGATCCTTAATTGTCTTTCCCTCTCTTCAAATCATTAGAATCGGATTGTGTGGTACCTGTTCAAAGAAGCATGTGTCGAGTTCAAACTTGTTAAAAACACATTGATCCTTCAACTTTTCATTTGATGTCTTCGTAGAACAAAGTTATGTCATATTTAGGCTTGAACAACACATTTATTTAAAAATCAACTATTGTTTAACAGAGAAATTCATGTGAATAAAGAGGATGAATTGTATTGTTTTTTGCTTTGGGTGTACCCATTTCCTGAACATGTAGAATCAATACCAAAAGTGTGGGTAGCCAAATTAATGAAATATTTTAAGATTTTCAAAACCTTAAAGGTCAGTTACAAAATATCCAAGTAAATTATTATTCAACCATCTAAGGTAAATTTTATCTTTGGGAACTGCTACCTTAGTTTAAAAAAAATATTACCAAATTGATCATTAATCATGTTAATTGAAATTGACACCGAAATATATGTCATGTATGTAGAAAGTAATTTGTTTGCTTGTAAGTCAAAATTTAACATGTCAGTTTTGCTACTTTCTATGCACCTTTTAATTTAACCGTCAGCATGAACATCTAAAAACACTAGTTAGTAGTTGATTGATTGATGTTTGCCTCACACTTCATTGGTGCTAAAAAGCTATATCGTAGAGAGGCAAATACAAAGGGTTGTACAAAACTAAAAAGGGAGATAATCCTAGGTCAGGATTACAATTGGAATTTTTCATAAGTATGTAAGTTCAATTAATTTTAAATCTTTTATTTTCAGACAACTGGTGTAGAACTGTTGGTGAAACATGTTAATATACCAGATACAAAAGATACAGTTGTAAGCTATATTTTTATCTATTACTAGCAAAACAATATCTGTTATAGTTATAAAAATAAGGGGATTTGGTATGATTGCCATGAGACAAATATCCACCAAAGTTCAAATGAAGTGGATGTAAGTAATTACAGGAAACCGTACAGCCTTCAACAATGAGAAAAACACATACCAAATAGTTATCTTTTCTAAAGAACTTCATGTGTATTGTATCTCACTGTTTATATAATTATCCACATGAACACCAATTTTAAATGTCTACAAATTAATTTATAAAAATTAAGAATGGAAATGGGGAATGTGTCAAAGAGACAACAACCTGACCAAAGAGCAGAAAACAGCCGAAGGCCACCAATGGGTCTTCAATTCAGTGAGAAAATTCCGCACCCAGAGGTGGGCTTCAGCTGGCCACTCAAACAGCTGCATTTTAAGTGCACCATTCAACCTTCTATAAATCACTGAAAGCTGAAATTTGTATTTGTGTAATTGAATGAAAAATCAGCGTGTAAAAGTTTCATAAGAATTCTTGAAAGCATATTTGAGTTATCAAGTGAAATGAAAAGTGCCTAGCTTTTGGTGATCAAAGAACCATTCCTTAACTCTAGAATGACTTCTGTAAGTTCAGAAATTTTGTGATATTTTTATAAGGTGTTGCGAAAATTACAAAGGGATACGTTTACGCAAAAATAAAAACAATCATATTGAATTTTGATTGCATTATTTGTACGAAGCATTTTCTGACATCGCAATGATTGATCTTATACTTGTGCCATTTGTTCAACAATCACAATAATAAATGCACCGAAAAATCTCTTAATTTACAGTAATTATTATACCCCTGCTTTAAAAAAAGTGGGGGTATACTGTTTTACCTCTGTCTGTCCATCCGTCAGTCCATCTGTCCATCCGTCCCTTGAATATTATTCGTCACATTTTTCTCAGGAACTACAATACAAGGATTTCTGAAATTTGTTTTCAGGGTTTGTATAAGTCGCTATACCGTGTGATGTGTTTTCAGATTCATCACTCAACAACTTCCTGTTTACCTTATACTTTTAGCGGGCGGGGGTATCATGAGTGCTCAGTAGCTCACAGATTCACTTGTTCAAACATCATCAGAATCAAAACAAGCTAGTCTCCATTTACCTATCATGTGAAAAATTTGATAAGGATTTTATTTGTTAGCATATTTAAGTATAACACAACATGCACTGATAGACTAAACCATTGTATGTTTTAGTTGTTCATTCACCATCATCAGATAAATTGGGACAGACACATGTTGAAATACACATCGTCAGTGTAACACAGTTTAGGTAAATCAGTTTGTCCACCTTTTTACAATGCAACAAACTAGCAAACTAGTAGTAGTAGTTGATAAGAGACTTAATACAATTATAATTTAGTAATTTAAACTATGTGACTTGTGTATGTTTATGTAATAATATACATTTATATATATATGTTTGGTTTTGTGCAGGAACTCTTTATGAATGATTCGGCTGGAAAAGAAATATTTTCTGATTTAGTGCAGAAATTTGTAAGTATAAATGTAGGAGTGAGAAAACTCCTTAATTGTAATTTAACAGGGTTTAATTTTTTAGGGGGAGGCAACAAGTCAGTTCTGTGAATAAAAAACGATAAGGGGGGATCATTATTGAGACAACACTAACAACACAGTAAATGATAAAGAACATCTAAAGGAGAACATATGATCTTCAATGAAATAAATTGTGGGCAATAACCAGGACTTATGAGTTCTGAATTATCAACCCAGATCAAGAATTATCAAACAAAGATTACAAAATTTAAGAATTATATGCTATTTTCATACCTTCTTTCCTGCTAAGTTAGGTAGCACATAAATTGATGTGCCAAGTGGTTGTATAAATGTTTATATCACCTCTTTGTATTTACAATGTGTTTGTCAGGCAAACTATAATAGTATTTTTAGATTTTTTCAAGTGCGTGTAGGAGGGTCTGGATGGGGTTTATTAAATAGAGAATAAAGTGCAAAATGTGCAGATTAAAGGATAAAAAAAATCAATGAATAGAGCAAAATAGGTCAAAATATATAAAGATGAGAGAAAATTGTCAAAAAAGTTAAAGTAAAGAAATGAAGGACCCCTAATGTAGGAATTATATGTCATGAAAACACCATGTCCTTTCACTTCAATGAAGGACCCCTAATGTAGGAATTGTATGTCATGAAAACACCATGTCCTTTCACTTCAATGAAGGACCCCTAATGTAGGAATTATATGTCATGAAAACACCATGTCCTTTCACTTCAATGAAGGACCCCTAATGTAGGAATTATATGTCATGAAAACACCATGTCCTTTCACTTCAATGAAATAATTTGTAACACACTGTTCATTTGGGTCGCTATAACTACTATTTTATGCTAGATTGACTTTGGTTAAGTTTGTGTTTAGATTACTGATACCCATTGTGGTATGTCAGTGATAATTTTACAACCATTATCTTTTTGTAACCTGTATGTCAGCACATTTCTAGGTTAATTGAATGTTTGTCACATGCATATGATGCTTTACTGACTTTGGTTCAATTTTGTAAATACATATACACGATAGCTGATAGCTCATTTCTCAGACAATACTGTTGAATTTTTATAATATTGCAAAACTATAGTTCTCTTATTCAGACTTAGTACAGTTTAGTTGAGAAATGTTTTGATTACATCATAAATAACATTTACATATTTCAATGTATCAATGAATTATATATAATTCTTATATGATTTGCATATTAAAGAATACGATGATATGATTGGTTGAGAGGACTTCCGGTAGTTGTTCTTGACGTTGTTTATTTTTCGATAGACGATGTTGACCGAACTTCTTTTTGTAACCAATGTAAACAAGATGGTGGCAATAATGACACAATCATGATCGACGTTAACAAAATTTATTTTCAATTTGCTTTAATAGGTCTTAATAGTTTAATTAAATAATAAACACAAAATATTCATTTGAATGATAATAAGAGTTTTTGTAGTTTATTTTTTATCAGATTGCAAATTTCATGGAGTACATATTTTGCGTTAACCAACAAATATATTCATGCGCCAGGCATATTCAATGACACAAATATACAATTTACGTGTGATAGAGGTTACGAGTGTGGAAAAATAAATTCCTAATCTCCAATTTTGAAGTATTATAAGGATTAAGCGCCTTTTTAAAGGAATTTATTGGTGTATAAACTGTACCAAGTCACTCACAAACATATCATAAAAGTCCTGGACTTTTATTTGTTTGTGAGTGAATTGGTCGAGTTTATACACCAATAAATTCCTTTAAAATGGCATTTAATCCTATAGTAAAGAATATTTTCATTAAGGTGGGACACCCATTTATTGAATCAATCCAATAACACAGGAAACTTTGTAGTTAAGATTAGTCTTGTTTTAAAGGTTTAACTGACATAAACAAATTTACAAAGAATTTTAGTAAACAGTAAATATTTAGGTTTTTTCCTTTAAACATTTTGTTTTTATCTTATATGGAGTAGTACAGAAAATCTTATTTATTTCATATTCAAGAGACTGATTTATCATGGGAGATAACTCAGGTAATTAAATGGATAAATTTTCCAATTTTTTGTTAAAGAAAATGTAAATGGTTGTTTAATACATCTTTATTCTTGATATTTTTCAGTGGGACCACCCTAATGTTATCATGGTTGTTTATGATGTCACTAGTGAAACTTCATTTTCTAGTTGTGCAAAGTGGTTAGAAAGGGTGCGGTCACAAAAACCAGATGTACAACTACCAGGTAATGATATGCATGCATTTGCAGAACTTTGGACTTGTTTATCCACATTTATTTAATTCATTTTAACTAATAATATCAAGTTAGAGTTTGAAGACAAAGTTTTAGCCCTGTAAAATACATAATTGATTTATTTAAAACAGCTATATTTTGTACCTACAGACAGTAATTTACAGTAAAAATTCTATCTTTAGCTTGAAATATTTTTGTACAGGCTCTCTTTTTGAACACCAACTTACAAATCTTTCTGGAAATTTGGTTTTCATTTGAAAATTAAATATGCAGCCTTGAAATCAGATCTGTTGGAAAGAACTTTTCTTCATAAATCACAGATCAATAGATTTGGAATTGAAATAAAATGAAAATTATAAAATCTTTTGTTCATTATTTCTTTTACAGGTGTTTTAGTAGCAAACAAAATAGATTTAGATCAAAGAAGATTAATTAGTCCTAAAGCTGGTCAGGAATTTGCAAACTCAAATGGTCTCAAATATTTTGAATGCTCAGCAGTAAGTATGGGGGACTTTTAGATATACAAAAAAAAAAAGGTTTTAACTGGAATATTCAAGTGCACTGTACAAAAAGCAAGCTAATTTATTTTTTTCTCCCGTTAAGAAAATTAAAAATTAAATGCTTTGAAAAGATTGATAAGTAGTTTTAGGACTAGCTTAAAGTATTATAATGTTGCTTAAAAGGTTTACATTGTTTGTATGTAAAGGTTATTATGGTGTTATGAGTAAATAACATTGAGCTGCATGCAAGAAGAGTGGAAGAAGTTAATATGTTTTTCCCCTATATATTTCTTTACAAAATATTGACCTTATTCTGGATTTTTAGATTTTGGCACCTTTTTTACTTTTACCCTTAATGCTGTCTCGGTTTTCAGATTTTGTCAACTTTGTTTTCTTTCAACCATGGTACTGTCTAGCTCATAGGTCATAGGTCTTTATGATATTTTTTGACAATTTGCGGACCAAAGAGCTACAGAGTTTTCCTATTTCAAAACATTTGGAATTGCGAGTCAGGTTCAGGTCACACTTATTTCCCAAAAATGTATTGTTTATCACCTCTGCATAGCTTGTCAATGTATATACATGTAGTTTGTTTCGTTAGATATTTTTCTAGTATATGATGTAGCCATTTATGTTTGAATATTCTTTTCCTTGACACTATTATTTAATTATTTCCTTTTGTATACATTCTCTGCCTATTTTGTTCAGCCATTTTGAATCTTGTCGTGACGTCACCAAAAACAAGAAAGGATAACTCTAATATCGTTGATCTCCTATGTTGGAGGTAAAGAACACATACAGAATAGGAAAACATGTGTTGGTTTGTTTACTTGTCACTTAGTGTGATTTGTGTTTTTTTCAGGCTTTGGAACACTAATTAACACAAATTTTTTAAAGTGCAGGGAGGAATTATTATTTCCCTTCGTATTAATGATCAAAATAATGTTCCTTCATGCAAATAGTCATGATAATCGAATAAAAGATCACGTAAACAAACCAACACATGTTTTTCTATAAGAGTTATCTGTTCTTATTTTTAGCTCACCTGGCCCAAAGGGCCATGTGAGCTTTTCTCATCACTTGGTGTCCGTCGTCCGTCGTCGTCGATGTCCGTCGTCGTCGTCGTTAACTTTTTACATTTTGAACTTCTTCTAGAGAACCAGTGAATGGAATGAAACTAAACATGGCATGAATGTTCCTTATGAGGTGCTGACCAAGTGTTGTTACTTTGCAGTTGATCCATTATCCAAGATGGCTTCCAGCTGGTGACTTAGTTTAACATAGGACCCTATGGGAAATACATACAAATGTCTTCTTTTAGAGAACCAGTGAATGGAATGAAACCAAACATGGCATGAATGTTCCTTATGAGGTGCTGACCAAGTGTTGTTACTTTGTAGCCAATCCATCATCCAAGTTGGCCGCCAGCGGGGGACTTAGTTTAACATAGGACCCTATGGGAAATACATACAAATGTCTTCTTTTAGAGAACCACTGAATGGAATGAAACAAAACATGGCATGAATGTTCCTTATGAGGTGTTGACCAAGTGTTGTTACTTTGCAGTTGGTCAATCATTCAAGATGGCCGCAAGCGGGGGACTTAGTTTAACATAGGACCCTATGGGAAATACATACAAATGTCTTCTTTTAGAGAACCAGTGAATGGAATGGAACCAAACATGGCATGAATGTTCCTTATGAGGTGCTGACCAAGTGTTGTTACTTGACAGTCGGTCCATCATCCAAGATGGCCGCCAGGGGGGGACTAAGTTTAACATAGGACCCTTTGGGAATTACATACAAATGTCTTCTTTTAGAGAACCACTGAATGGAATGAAACCAAACATGGCATGAATGTTCCTTATGAGATGCTGACCAAGTGTTGTTACATTGCAGCTGATCCATCATCCAAGATGGCCATTGGGGGGACTTAGTTTAACATAGGACCCTATGGGAAATACATACAAATGTCTGCTTTTAGAGAACCACTGAATGGAATGGAACCAAACATGGCATGAATGTTCCTTATGAGGTGTTGACCAAGTGTTGTTACTTTGCAGTTGGTCAATCATTCAAGATGGCCGCAAGCGGGGGACTTAGTTTAACATAGGACCCTATGGGAAATACATACAAATGTCTTCTTTTTGAGAACCAGTGAATGGAATGGAACCAAACATGGCATGAATGTTCCTTATGAGGTGCTGACCAAGTGTTGTTACTTGACAGTCGGTCCATCATCCAAGATGGCCGCCAGGGGGGGACTTAGTTTAACATAGGACCCTTTGGGAATTACATACAAATGTCTTCTTTTAGAGAACCACTGAATGGAATGAAACCAAATTTGGCATGAATGTTCCTTATGAGATGCTGACCAAGTGTTGTTACATTGCAGCTGATCCATCATCCAAGATGGCCATTGGGGGGACTTAGTTTAACATAGGACCCTATGGGAAATACATACAAATGTCTTCTTTTAGAGTACCACTGAATGGAATGAAACCAAACATGGCATGAATGTTCCTTATGAGGTGCTGACCAAGTGTTGCTTCTTTGTTGCCGATTTACTGTTCAAGATGGCCACCAGGATATTTTATTGAATAACGGGGACAATATTAAACCAAATTTGGCCTCAATCATTATTTGGGTATCTGTTATGATTTTTATCTATCTTTACATGATTTTTAAAACCAAAGTAGAGTCAGGTGAGCGACACAGGCTCTTGAGAGCCTCTAGTTTATGATGTCACGACGAGATTCAATATGGCTGAACAAAATAGGCGGAGAATGTATGATAAAGGAAATAATTAGAAAATAGTGTCAAGGAAATGAATATTCAAACATAAATAGGTATGTCATATCCTAGAAAAATATCTAACGAAATGAATTATATACATTGACAAGCTATGCAGAGGCGATAAACAATAAATTTTTGGGAAATAAGTGCGACTTGAGTCGCAATTCCGAACGTTTTCAAATAGGAAAATTCCGTAGCTCTATGATTGGCAAATTGTCAAAAAATATCATAAGGACCTATGAGCTACGGTTCCGCAGCTAGGTACTGTCTTGATCTTGCTGAAAGATGTGATATCTTCATTTCATGATTGAACCTTCCTGTTCAGATGATGAACAACAATAATGTGCTGATTTGTCATATTTTTATGCCCCACCTAGGGGCATTATTTTTTTCAGTCTGTCCGTCCGTTCGTCTGTCCCGCTTCAGGTTAAAGTTTTTGGTCCAGGTAGTTTTTGATGAAGTTGAAGTCCAATCAACTTGAAACTTAGTGCACATGTTCCCTATGGTATGATCTTTCTAATTTTAATGCCAAATTAGAGTTTTGACCCCAATTTCATGGTCCACTGAACATAGAAAATGATAGTGGGAGTGGGGCATCTGTGTACTACGGACACATTCTTGTTTTTTAATATCTAGTATTTCATTAGATTGTTGTTTCTTGTGTATCCATCATATCCTTTTTACAATTAGAAATCAATTTTTCTTATTGTAGAGAAAAGCCACCAATATTGTAATAGCGCATGTTAATTTGTAAATAAATATGGGGTTTTTTTATTGTAGAAAGAAATGCAGAATGTGGATGGTTCATTTTACTACCTGGCTAATGAGTTCTACAAACTATACCAGGACAAGATAGAGACATTTAAAACACTCACATGATCATCAGAAACATTTTAATTATTTATTACATTCCGTCCTACTTTTTGTTATTATGAAGTAAAATTCATTCACTACATTCAGTTTTTATTACTAAGGCCTCATTGACTAGTGGGTGTTTATCCTTTAGAAAACACTCTGTCTGTCTATCTGTTCTTTTGCACTTCTATGTTGAACAATAAGTCAATTTTTTTCGTCAGCTGCTTTTCAAATTTTAACAGTGTTAATTCCTTAAAATAAGAAATGTCCCATTTATGTTTTGTGATATTTGGAAACAAATTGTTGGAAAAAATTTTAGTTTAAAAATTTTTTTTGAGAAACATCTGCTTGTGTTCGAATTTCAACAATAATTGACAAATAAATTATAGTATCCTATACAAAAATGATTCCCAATGACAAAATTGATTTGACAAAATTGATTTTTTTAGATCAATTTTTAATTCAAAAATTTTGAGAAATTTTTTGTGATAGGATTTCGATGAAAAATGATACCTATATAGATATAATAAGCTATAATTCCAAATTGTTTCTTGTTGTCAAATATGGGGTAAAAGTTTTTTTAATATTTCATTCAATGATTGTTGATCGCAAGCTTATTATCTTTCGAGTTTGTTGCTGAAGTTCACTGGATCATGACAGTGATTAACAATCATCACAGAGCACGTGGATCATGTGACAAATAAGCGAATTGAAAGAGCCATGATATTTTTTTTTTATTTTCCATGCGTTCCCATTTGTTAATTAAACTTTTACTTAAAAATTGTTGAATGATTTGTTGTATATAATTTTTTCTGTAAGTTATCACTATTTACCCTCCAGTGCAAGTTTGTTTACATCCTTTCATCACGGTTTTCCCTCGCACTTGCCATTGTGTGGTTGCTGAAGTTCTAATGAGAGGTCTCGTAGTTAAGGTCACTGCATACGGGAAAATATTGGCGAATTAGTGTACGGGAAGACAATAATTCAATGGCAGTACATTTATGAAGATTTTGATAATATAAAGGATTTTTTGTTACAAGAAACTTTACATACACTTGTTTTATAGTAAAACCTAGCCATTCAAATATATAAAACATATTCAACTTCTTTTTCAAACTTTAAGTTTCATATGACATTAATGGGGGGGGGGGGGGGGAAATCAGTCACAGCGACATACACTAAATAGGACTAGCAAAATTTAGGATTAATTAATGAAAATGTGAGGTATACGTCATGATACAGGAACTAAACGATACGATAAAAATCAACTTAGAGGTCAGAATGTGGTTCTTAAGCCTTAGACAAGTGTCCATACCATGTGTCAAGCTCAAGATCATAGCAAGATCCGAAAAATTTTTAAGGAATAAATTGAAAATAGACTTCAAAAGATATGCCATTTACACAAAGTTTATTTAGAATAAAAAACAAAGCAATTCTTGACGAAGTTCCTGACTGAAATCAGGAATGTAAAGTTGTGGTGGGTTACTGTTTTTGTGCAGTAAGTCTGATTTAAGATTTCACAACCATAAGCAGCTTTCAAATAATCCTCTTCAAACATTCACCAACGAAATCAACATTCGAAAATGGCCATGAACTCAGGCACTTGTTTATGAAAACATACCTATATAGTATATATAGACTATATACCTTAGAAGAGAGGCAAAATATACCAAAGTGACATTCAAACTCACAAGTCGAAATAAACTGACAATGCCATGGCTAAAAAAGAAACAGACAAACATACAAACAACAGTACACAACAAAGAAACCTAAAGCCTGAGCAACACAAACCCCACCAAAAACTCAGGGTGTTCTCAGGTGCTCTGGAAGGGTAAGCAGATCCTGCTCCACATGTGGCACCCGTCTTGTTGCTCATGTTAGTACAAACCCGGTAATAAGTCTAATTCAGTATGTCACATTCGGGAAAAGGGAACGGGATTGTAGTTACGACAAATGGAACATATCCTCTTTCGTCAGTAAAACGGATATTCCATTACGGTCAACCAACTTTTGATGGCGTCGTAAAATTTACGAATGGATGATTTCAACTTCACCACTTGGAACTCTTGGTTTTATAGCTTCCTTGTGAACAGCAACCTTCTATCAAGGAAATTATGATAGGAAATACAAGCCCTTGAATATCGTATCAACTGGGAGATATATACTCTGTATGCAGGCGTTGCTGGGGTGTTGCTGCATAGAAATTGAAAGTTCACAATTTGGAAGCTGAAATAATCTCTTTTGAAGTAAAGTTTTGTTTTCAACCGACCCTCATTGTCAATTTCTAGATGTAAGTCCAAATATGAGGCAGACTTAACTGTATCTGTTGTGTACTTTATCTCAAGTTCGATGGGATAGATGCGTTCAACATAGTCACCAAATTTTGAATTATTTAGTGAGAGAACATCATCTATATAGCGGAAAGTAGGTTAAATGAAACTGCCAACTTTTTTTCATTCTTTCTAAGAAGTTCCTGTATGAAGTCAGCCTCATATGAATAAAGGAACAAGTCAACAAGAAGATGAACACAGTTAGTCCCATGGGAATGCCGATTGTTTGTTGAAAAAAGCGTCCACCAAATATAACAAATATGTTGTCAATCAAGAAATCAAGCATCTTGATAATGTCAGTTTCAGAGAATTTTTTGTTTGAATCAGAGTGATTTTTTACAAAGTACGATTTATCCCTCCCTTAAACAAGATACTTGTATCTACGTTGGTCATTTTTTTTTATGAAACAAAGCAGGAACAACTTTTTTAATTTGTCTTTTAGTTTGGAATGGGGAATAACTGTGTAAAGTGTGAAAAAGTCAAATGTTTAAACAATATTGCACGATGAAAGAGTTTTAGATTAAATGTACTCTAAAATTTCTTAAGAATTTTTTAGTATCCACATCTGATTCACTCCACCTCTAGAATAGGTAGTTTCACTATAACTTTGAAGCCCGGCTTTGATTGCTGATAAAATTGATGTTTCGTAGAGCACTTGCAAGACCCAGCAATTGTAAAGACACTTATGTAGTTTAGGTATCCTATACAGTGATGGAAGATCCAATTTTTCATCTTTGGTTGAAATTCCAAAGGAACATAGAACAAACCTATGATTATCCAGGATTTCCTCTTTGGTAAGTGTCGTAGGGGTATATGTTGAGTTTCCAAGTGAATTGTGAATACCTATTTCAATTATCAAGCAGTTTATGTAATGTGATTTACACACAAAAACGACGTTGTTTGGGGTTTTATCTGCGGGGACAACAACATATTAGTCATGGAGGTAGTACAGGTGTTTTGCAACATTTGGGTCTTTAAAGATTGATGTAGCATGGATATTCATAGACCCATTCAGTTTTTATAATTCTGATTTGTATCAATGACCTCTCAGCCTTAATCCATTCGGAAAGAGTATCTATGTCTGCTTTCTCGCGTTTAAAATACATAAGGAAATGTCTGTACCAAGTCAGGAATATGACAGTTGTTTTCCATTCGTTTGATGTGTTTGACCTTTTAATTTTGCCTTTTGGTAATGGACTTTTAGTTTTGAATTTTCCTTGGAGTTCGGTATTTTTGTTATTTTATTTTTTAAACCATTGCCTGGCATAATCCTCGACTGAATCCATCAGTATTTTAAAATTGTGCTTCCAATTGATGGATTTATACTTACGATATTTCGGGCCTTTTGATACTTTCGTAAAGAAGTGTTATTGACAATGTTTAGGTCACCAGTAATAACGTGGGCAGCCGGAATATGTATGAATGGGGAACTAACATAGGTGCAATCAGGAGGTTTAGACTTGAGGTCGTCAATATTGAGTTCTTGCAACACGTGTTTGTTATTGAAAATTAATATGTATGTAGGTAACAAAAAAAATCCGAGAGAAGTGCATGTTGTCTTGACATTGGTATCTGTCATTTCCGTCAGCGTGAAAACCAGACTCCTATAGCTTAGTTATTTAGGAAATTGAGGATAGCAGGCCTATTGTATCAAATACAACAAAACACATTTCAGTTTTGGCTACTGATGAAATATTTTAATTCTTATCTTCCATTCTTCAATCGGAAAACCCTATCCCTTATTTTCTTCCAAAAATCTCGTTTTCCGTCTTGCTTTTTGTTCTGCAATTAAAAACAAATTTATTACAATTGAATAAGTATGAAACTATTTTTCAGAACAACTTGAACATTTATTGATTCTTAAAGTATGTTTTGGTATATCATTCAGATCTTAAGGCAATGAATGAGCTATCAGAATGTATTTCAATGGAATCAGAAACCGTATTCAAATTATTACCATGAGAAAATATCTTCCTTTACTACATATAAGCAGTACAAATGTACTAAAACTAGTCAAATATATAGCATACAGCCATAGGTTCTTGCGGTATGGATCCTCTTATTTCTTTTTCTTTTTTTATTAGTGTATTTATATAGTTTTTGTAATAGTAAGTGTTCTGTTATATTTTAACTTATGTTCACTCATTTAAGGTGAATACGATTGTACAACACAATAGTTTATTTTATGCTGCCCCTCTATTCTTACGTGGGAAGCAAGAAGAGAGAGACAGCGTATTATCTGTGAAACCGTAGACGACCCTGCAAAATTTGTATTAGGTATTGGACATTCGAATATTATGGCTTCCAGGATCACTAAAGATATATTAATTTTCGAAATGCTAGAAACATTGAAACCGCTATTATACCTATCAAAGGAATATCACAAGGACCATAAGAGCTACGGTTTTGCAACTAAGCAGCATATATAAACTACGGTGTATTCTTCTAAAGTAAGAATAACTGCACAAAATTAAACTTCAAACAATGACCATTCATTTTCAACATAATATTTAATATTTCATTATCTTTTTTCTTGTCTTACCCTTATGTATTTATAATAGGCAACAAGGTATAGACACGAAAGGTTTCTAGAATAGAGAATAAAACGGTAATGTGTCAAAGAGACAACAACCCGACCAAAGAATTGTCACGGTTTGATTTTAAGAACTTTCAAACGTTAAATTTGATCTTTTATGGTGTCCAGATTTAACAAAAATATAGGAAGTACAAATCATAGCAATTTTAGTCAGAAAGATATTTACAAAAGATAATGTATGAACAATTTCTCCGGTGTCTTCCTCCTATTCCCACTTTTTAAAAATCACTATTCCTTCTATTCCCACATGCAAATAACAATAGATGTTTTGATAAATAATTTGTTTTTATAACAATCAAGGTTAATTAAGAATTCACCTAAGATTTACCTGTATTTTTTAAAAAGAAAACACATGTCTTACACTGTTTAAGTATATTATTTAAAAAAAGATTAATGCACTGTTTGTTTGTAATATGTTTTTTCTTCTTCAAAGAATTACCTTAAAATAAATAATAATAAGTCAGATAAATAGAAGTAAGATTAAAAAATTATTGAATTTGTAAACCTAACAAATTGTCATCCGACCACATGAAACTAATGATAGTTAATATTAAAACAAACTTTCCCATCTTGAAAGATTACCATGTACAACAAACGCAAGAAGAACCTACCAGTTTTACCAAAAAATGTTGATAAAATCAACAAAGAGGGTATTTGGGCACGTACTACCAAAGGTGACCCATTCCTGATAACAGACGACAACACAGTTGGGTGTATGTTAATCTTCAGTACTCAAACGAATCTAACCCATAAGCAGCAGCAGATATCATATACAAGTATGGTGAAGGTACATTTTACTCCTGTCCAAGCTTATTCTTCAAACTTTACACATTTCACGCAATGGTTGACGGCGCAATTTATTATCCACTGGTACATACAGAAGTTCACTTCCAGCCAAGAGCGAACTAATATACACAAGGTTCCTGACTTTACTCAAGGATGTATGTTGCCATCCGAAATGCAGCATATTATGTATTTCTTTACATCAACGCAAACCACTGTTTTTCCACTACACACAATGCATCTGGAGAAAAGCTCAATGAACAGGGATTCAGGTTTCATACAAGGAAGACAAAAACATTCATCAACTAGTACGCCGTGCTGCTGTCCTTCCACTTGTACCTACTGCTGAGGTCGAAGATGTGTGGTTTAATGCCCTAACCGACATTGATCAGATTGATACTAACATCAACTAAACGCCCTTTACAGACAATGTAACAAAATACTGATGGGACCATTACAAAACACAGGGACTGAGGACTACACATCATCTTGAGTGATGATAAAGATAGAATAACATATTGTAGATTTAGAACGGGAAACCGCAAGTTACCCATCGAAACTGGTAGATGGAATAAAATTGAACGTACCTATAGATATTGTAATTTATGTCAATGGAACGAGATTGGTGATGAATTTCATTACATTTTAGCTCTTTGGCAAATTTTCGAGCACAATATTTGGATACTTTTTTCTTGCATAGAATTAATACTAAAGTTTGGAAAACTATTTCAGTTAAAATACAAAAATAAGTTAAAAAAGCTGTTCAAATTTATCAGGGTTATAACTTTTCAAGTAAGTCTTCCTGGTTAATCACCGCTCTTCCCAACTACTGTTTATTTTATTATTTTTTTTTGCATCTCATCCTGTCATGTGTGTTCATGTTATGTTATAACTTTTGATGAACTTCTTTGTACCATTGTAACTATATGGTGTTTGAGAAATAAAGGATCTTGAATCTTGTTAAATTGTATAGTTTGTTTCATATTATAATACTTGCTTCGAATCTACTGTTGAATTTGTGTTATAAAAGAAATAAAATAATTTACTTATATTTGTTTCCATTTCTTGCATATTTTAAATTAAAAACACAGAATTCATACACATACAAAACTAACCTATTACCTATAAAAAAAACACTTGTCAATTAAAAGTTGATTAAACAATGTTTATACAGTATAATCCTTTGTTTGCACAAGTTTTCCCCCTATTCCCACATGCAATTTTAACTTTTCTTACCAGATTTATAAAAAGTGGGAATAGGAGGAACGAACCATTTCTCCAAAGGTACACCTGCCAAAAAGGTGTTATTGTCAATGGGCTCCGATCGTAATTTACTAGACTTGAACTTTGTTGACACTTACCTCCCATTCATTTCTTCTTTGTTCATGATATTTCTTAAATGCTGTCCTGTCAAATGTAAGGTCACAATCTGAAATATAAGAAATCTTCTAAAATTTGTGAATAATCGTTGAAACGACCTATAGACGTCTTTTGTTTTTGTTTTTGTTTTTGTTTTTTTTGTATTAATGATAACACAAATCTGCTCTTTCTCATTGACATAACCCTACCTCCTTTTTTATTCATAAAGCATTCAATGCGAATAGTGATAGAGATGACCTTATTTCTATTATGCCCCAGTCAAACCTTTTGGTGTATGACTTCAGAAAGGATTAGTTAATTGAAAAATATAGAACAAAATGAACGAATCTGGTTATACAACACATTACTACAATACAATATCATCACCGACAAAAACTTTTCTTTAGCTGTCTTCTGCCTACCGTGACAAGCTACTTTTCACAATATTTGGCGTTATTGACCACGTAATTTCATTTGTAAGAACTAAATATAAACTTAACCTTTAGACTTCAGTTCATTCCAATCATCTTTACAAATTCCTCGACATGATCTGCAGGTTCGCGTTGCTGAAAAAATTGAACAAAATTGTGCGTTGTTACTTTATTTAAACAAAGGTTAGATAGTATGTAAACTATGAAGTGTAAACAAAATGCATGATCGAACCTTATTACCGATAGGTGTTAAATTTATAAGAAAAATTTACTTTTAAGGTCAAATTTGATTTTGGTAGATATTTGCCTCAATTGGCAATGATTGAAAATAGATATTCGTGCAGAGAAAATCCCCTGCTCCCTCATCCACCAGAACAAAATGGTGGTCCCCTGTAAGCATCATTTAAAGAAGAATTTTCCAAGTAAGAATTCTGGCATATATCCATGCGATCGGCTTGCATTAACACATTATTATTAGTCAAAAGTAACATTTCAGGTGCAAGTGGAACAGGTAGAGCGTAATCTTCCGGGAACTTGGGTTTACCGTGTTGGTTTATGGAGGTGTTACTAATTGATACGCAATCTTTAGTTTTCTCTGTAGTGTTTACGGGTTAATATTTTTGTCTTATTTTTTTTTATTATAAATGTAAGTAGATTATAATTTTATCGATTCATTGGTATTTTCCTACATTTTAATATCAAATTCCAATATTTAATCAACTTTATAAAAATTGACTCACTGAGTTAAACAAATGCTAGGGAAGATGATCACATCTTTTGTATACTTACTATTCCTTTTATTTTCTGTTTCATATTTATCATTCTTTTATTATCATTAATGATATGCATTTTTCCTTTGATTTTTCAGTGTTTTTTACTAAATGTTTTACCTCTACAAGTTGATCTGCATTCTTTGCAGTTTTTCATTGGCACAAAGTTATTCTTTACACCGCAGGCCTCTATCCTGTCCCTAAATGACTTTCTAGCCGCCTTCATTTGTTCTCTCAACTCTTCAAGTGTCTCACGTCTCACGATGTCATCCTCAGATGTCACTTAAAAACAAACAAATTGCAATGAGATGCTAAGAATAACTAAATCAATATCTACACGTATTTAAAAAATGATATTATATTACCGTTATTCGTAAAAGCATTTTTACGTTAAACGAATAATATTAACTTTTTTGCTCTAAAGGTGAAATGTTATGTTTGTTGGTTTTGCCCTTGATTTGAAATATTTATCCATAACAATGTTTTCCAAACTTAACTTGCATGTTAATGCAAGGAAAGAATAATAATTCCTATTTGAAATGGTACATTACTATATGTTTTTGTTACAAAACTCTTGAACTGTCGTATGTGTCAATATCCAAACTGTTTCAAACGATTCTTACATTCCTCCTCTTCGTCATCTCTCTTTTCGTTATCTGATATGTCATCGATATTTTCATCATTCTCCTGCTCTAAAGATTCATCATCAGATCTTTCCTCTCTTTCCATTTCACCAAGGTTTTCATCACTTTCCTCGTCGACAAATTCGTCTTCCGATCTTTCATCTTTATCATTCAGGTCATCCTCATTAATGAATTCTTCCTCTCGTTCTGATATGTCATGGGCGTTATCATTACTATCTTCGTCAAGGTCACCAAAATCATCTTGACATTTACCAGCCACGAGGATGGCAATTAAAAACAGCACTACCCGTATTGTGTTCTACAATTGTCAAACCAAATTAAATTGATTATTGTAGTTAAATGGTAAAACGATTTGTTGTTTTTGATTTAGTTAATACTCAGTGTCTAATTTTTCATTTTCAGTGTGTAAATTTAATTCTCAGCGTGTATTTTTGAACTTTTTAAATCTCAGTGTGCTTTTTTAAAAATCTCAATGTCAAATGTTTAATTTTCAGTGTGTTTTTGAAATATTCTATTCTCAGTGTGTATTTTATTTGAAATACGGCAGCAACATAATTTTGACGAGAACTGCTTGCCATTAAAATGCCTGTACCAAGTCCGGAATATGACAGTTGTTGTCCATTCGTTTGATGTGTTTGTGCTTTTGATTTTGCCATTTGATTAGGGACTTTCCGTTTTGAATTTTCCTCGGAGTTCAGTATTTTTGTGATTTAACTTTTTGCCATAATTAAGCATATAGTAATGCAATGCAATTTCGTTTCTGATATAGGGCCAAATATATATTGACCAATCTCTCTGGTTACTGAATAATTCTACTTCTGCCGCAATATCATAAACTAGTGGTTAATACTTTAAACGATAGTTATATGCCAATAAACACAACGTTTGGCATTGTAGGACATGTTCTAGGTACTAACAATTATGTTACAAAAACATTAACAGCAAACAGGTGTAAAGCCATAAATAACTTGACCAAAGTATGAAAAAGTTGTGCAAAATACATTAACCAATAGAAACAAAACCTATAACAGATCTGGCTTCAAAACCAAATTCTCCTAACAAAAGTCACCCTCAGTTTTAGTTGGGGTTCGTGGTGCTCAGTCTTTAGTTTTCTATGTTGTGTTTTGTAAATTGTTGTTTGTCTGTGTGTCTTTTTCTTTTTTAGCCATGGCGTTGTCAGTTTATTTTCGACTTATGAGTTTGAATGCCCCTTTGGTATCTTTCGCCTCTTTTAGGTATGACCTGACAACACCTGACAAGTTTCTAGAATTGAGAGAGGCACATGAATATGTGACGGGTTAAAACTTTTTTTTTTATATCTCAACCCAACCACACTTCATTTTGAATCTCGACAATAAGGGGGAAAATACTAGATAAGAAAAAACAACAATTAATAGTAATATACTGAATCAAAGAATCCTAACAGTTACTGAAAGCAAGCTAAAAGTATTTCACTTACTGACGTAAAAACAAAAAGCGTCCTACACTCTAAATCTAATATCGATGACCGTACTGCATAGGAAATTTTACAACAACGTCATGAACAGCACAAGAAGACACGACAATGTGCAGAACGAACTGTACAGAATTTCAATGCAAAAAAACCCAAAAACATGTGAGTCTTGCTTCAAACTATAAATTAGGGAACAGATGTCCATTCACCAAATCATGAAACTCAGTGATTGAACAACAACAGTATGAGTTATAATCTTTAACAATAAGTCTATTTAGTCAAAAAGAAAGAAAGCATCCTTTAAGAAAGATACTTCGTAATTATTTCAAAATGATGAAAATAACAGCCAATATCTTTATTTGATTTACCTTGACACATATGGTAGAAAATTGAGAATGGAAACGGGGAATGTGTCAAAGAGACAACAGCCCGACCAAAGAGCAGAAAACAGCCCAAGGCCACAATGGGTCTTCAACACAGCGAGAAAATCCCGCACCCGTAGGCGGGCTTCAGCTGGCCCCTAAACAAAAATGTGTACTAGTTCAGCGAAAATGGACGTCACACTAAACTCCGAAACATATAAATGAACCAAAATTTAAAAAAAAGTGCATTGATTATATATAACTCTAGTATAAGAGTTGCTATAAGGATAAATGTCATGAACTGAAGCGACAGTAGTTTATCGATGGTCATTCTCGAAAATCGATATGGAAGAGACAAATCAAGGTAACAAACAAAAACTGAATGAATCGCATTAACTCAAAAAAAAGGGCAAGACCGGGTGCGTCGACATGGTAAACTTCTCCTGTAATGCATGCGTCATCCGACATACGAATTTACACTTTCAAAATGTCACAATCGGGAGTAGAATACAGACAGACGACTATACTGGTACCTAAAGATCTAAGTCTGCGAAACATGTCATTAGATAATTATCAACCATTGGTTAACCATTTCGTGATGTTGACCGTAACACTTATTTGTCGACTTCAGTCGTTCTTCCTCATAGCACTGTTGAAGCAGTGTTTGTGTAAAGAACACACCCCTGGTAATGAAGTCAGAATAGCGTAAAACATGCACGAGCGTAACCGAGTGATCATGAGTAGAGGATATTGTACTGCTGAGAAATGGGAAGTTGGCAATTGGAAAGTTGAAATCATCACGTTTGTCATATGTTCTAGTTTTCCAAGTTGTCCATCTGTGTCAATATCAACGAAAATATCTAGGTATGAAGCAAATCTTCTACCTTCGGTAGTATACTTAATCTCAATCAAGTTTACTAAGACATGTGAGATATAAGCACGTACTCATTGAAATGTGAGTTATTGAGGAACAGAACATCGTCAATATTTCTGACGGTTAAATTAAAGAATTTTGTAAGATGCTTTTCGTTTTGTCTTTGAGAAGGTTCTGTATGAAATCTGCTTCATATGAATACAGTGACACAGTCAACAAGCAAACATAACAACTAAGAATAAAAAGATAGATTTTTACCAATATATTTGGTTACATATTACATGTAGCAATATCTTGCAGGTATATTTATAGAGGAGACGATATTGCTCCGAAACTTAGACCTTGAAAAAAAAACCTATAGGGTTGGGTCAACTTTAAATGAAAATACAAAAAAAAACAATCATGTACGATGACTTTTACAAGTTAATTATTTCCATGTTGGAACACAACGAAATGTTCAACAACTCATGTAATATTTCAGTAATAATGCATATAAAAAGTAAATAAGCTTTGTAAGTCACTAGCAATAATTACATGTTTAATATTGGGCAGTAATATTACACTACAGCAATAATTGCAATACTTATATACTGAAAACGTCATACAAGCCTTCACTTTATCAATTAAAAGTTTAATTGTTAATCAATTGAATTTTAGGGGAATTCAAAACGCTGATAGTGTTAATATAATTAATTTTAACAATTACATTTTATAATCATTATTTTAGTTCAAATTAATACGAATATAACTTAAAACTTACCATTTCAATTCGAACAAAATACAATCTGTTACAAGTGGAAACCTGTAGCAAATATCAACCGTCCTGTAAAATCTCGTGTTACTTTTTAATTACCATACCACACCTACATCAAAATTTTATGGATTTCTTTTTAGATTTGAAGACTGAACTTTTTTCGTTAGAATAGAAATTCTGCAGATGCAGATTCCTAATAAATTTAATAGAGCTATTTGTAATGCCATTTTTTAACAAGAAGGACAGAAAAATACTAATCAATCAATATTGAAAAAACGAATGTTTTGGAAAAACCACCATCTATCCTGACTGGGAGAACTATCGTTAGTGATACCAATGACGACTGCGTGTTTTGTGATACAAAAATGACATTTATCACAACAATCTCCATGGTTTCATAAAGCCGAAACCTGCTAAAAAGGCGACACAAAATCCTGAATATTATTATTTCCTTGCCTCTAGATTATAATTTTTTTATTTTTGTTGTTGCTAAAATAGGGTAATGATATTAAAACAAATAAAATAAAACACGTTAGCTCTGTTCAAATAAAAATAGTTTACAGTTTGCTATCATCTGAAAAGGCTATACATTGAAACAGACAGTGAAATTCATCACCAAGCTATTAAATTTGACATAAATTACAGAAACACTCTTGCCTATCGATGCCGAAACATCATCCAATTTCAATTGGTAGACCGTGATTACCTTTCCTAAACCATTCTATCTGTTTTTGAAAATTCTAAACAGTTTTTTTTTACTAAAACTGATTTTTAAATAATCTATATGTTAGACCTTTAAAGGAGAAGCTGTTTCAATGTCTGAAAACCATTTTTGAATAGATTAATCCTGTCAATTTTGCTTAAAAAATTACTTAATAAAAACTCATCAAAGATACCAGGCTTATAATTGTGTACGCCAGACTCACATTTCGTCTACAAAAGCCGCATGTTTGACGCGCGAATGAAAAAAAGTTAAAAGAAAAAATAAAGTACCAATATGGAGAGCATTTGTATTGTGTTTACCATATATTACTACAACTACATGTATTTTGTATATTTAATGTACAATTTAAACACTCTAGCTTAAAATATTGTTTAAGTTACTTAGGTATAGGCATTTGTATAATATATGAATAATTCTATTTTTGTTTCCATTAACTTGTGTTTTCCCCAAAATTGACCATTCTAAGTTTTATTGTACGGACATAGGAAATGTACCCAATTCTCCATTTACAAAAAGGTTTTGACTTCTACGTCTTTTTGGTCTCTGATGGACAGTTATCTCACTGGCAATCATTCAACATTATGTTATTTTTTATATTGAGTTGATTTTGTTTTTAAATTCAATAATAATTTACAAAATTTTACACTTTACCCTTTCGATAACATCAATATTATTGAGTCCTCATAAGTACGATTGGGTTTAATATTTTATCAAAACGATCATATTGACATTTTGTGCATGCGCTCTCCCTTATGATCACTTCACACATTTGTTTTGATGACTTTATCGGTTGTAGTCATTTTTGTGTTTTAAAAAGATACAGCTCTTGAAAAAAATACCCACATAGTTTATATGTTTTAAAATTTCTAATGAATCACCATCCATGACAGAAAACAACAATTTCATTTTTGTCGGAATTAACAGCTAATTCATTTGCTTACAGCTATAATGAACTAATAGAATATGCTATTGACTCTGTAGATCTTCTGGTAATTCGGGACACCAATACACTATCATCCGCATAAGGAAGAACAATATTATGTAATATATGTTGTTAATTTTGCCATAGCATGTCTATGCTTTTGCAATAAAGATTCAATTCAAAAATTCAATTCAAAAAATAATTCAAAGTATAAATTCATCTGATTTTCAATTTTCTCAGGTATACAAGTCAAGCTATTAAAATTTAGAACATGAAAAAAGTATAAAGAAAATAAACTAAAGGTTCTAAAGAGCAGTGTCGCTCACCTTGATCTTTGTGGATCTTCAACAATGTAGACTAGACAGACTAAAATTCATGACTCAAATATCTTGTTAATCGTGTCTTGCTGATAATTTTACTGTTTCAGCTTCTCTCTATCTTCAATAATTTTTCGTAAAAATCTTCATTTAAAAGCAATAAGTCTACAAGGATTCGCTATGTTGACCTATTTTTGTGTCTTGTCGTGCTGATAATTTTGCTGTTACAATTTTTCATTATCCGCCAAAATTGTTTTCTTCCCAGCAAAAAATATATAAAAATCATCATTCAAAGGCAATAAATACCTCAAAATAAGAGCTGACTGGCAACTTCGGTTATGTTGACATATTTATAGATCGTGTCCTGCTTGTTTTCAAGATAAAAAGCAAAGATAGAAAAAAAACCAAAATGATAAAAAGTAGTTATTTAAGGGCAATGATTCCTATAATGATTTCGGCAATATAAACGTATTTGTAGATCTTGTTTAGTGGATTATTTTTTGTTGTATAAAGTTTCCCTTCATCTATTATTGTTTCAAAATAATATGCATTAACGCAAACAAATTGGTAAAAATCGCCATTTAAATGTAATAACTCCTATGAGGAGCCAACTGACAATTTCAGCAATGGTGACTTATTTGTAGATCTATCTTAATGATAATGTTTGCTATCAAAGTGTCTATCTATCAGGCTATGATATTTTTTCAGATAAAAGGTAAAAACGCAAAAATGGTAAAAATCCGCATCAAAGGTCAATAACTTCAATATGTAGTCGACTGACGATTTCGGTCATGTTTGACTTTTTTTGTAAATCTGATCTTTGGTTATTTTTTTTGCCATTCCAAAATTTTTCCTATCTATTATCTATTATAGATTTCAAAATAATAGACAAAAAATAGAAATAACTCCTATACCAGGTCGTCTGACAGTTTTGTTGTTATAGGACAGTTGGTAACAATCTCAACAATCTGAACATTTCTGCCCATATCTGATTTTCTCTATCTATAGCGGTTTTCAAGATATTAGATAAAACTTTCATTTCACCCCTACATTCTAGTTTAAGCCATGTTTGCCATGTAATTTGGATGGCACGATCATCGGACACAATTTTTAGCTAGACATCCCAATGATAGTTTTGAAAAAGTTTGGTTTCAATTGGCCCAGTAGTTTAAGAGGAGAAAATTTACGAAAAAATTAACAAACAACGGATAAACGACGTGTCAAGTGAGCTAAAAGGGGTTACATTACAAAGCACTTATATTACACGGGACAAATTCAGAAAAAATCAACTGTATATAAGTCTTGCCTTTATACCTTTAAACATATAAAATTATATTGTACATTTTCCCTACCTGAAAGCTAGCTTCAGAAAAATAAGAAGATGTGGTATGATTGCCAATTAGACCTCTATCCACCAGATACAAAAAGATGTAAGCAACTATAGGTCACCATACGGCCTTCAACAATGAGCAAAAATCATACCGAATAGCAAGCTATAAAAAGCCCCGACATGACAAAATTTAAAACAGTTAAAACGAGAAAATCTAAGGCTTGATTTATGTATAAAACAATAATCCAAACAACAACAACAAAAAAACCAAATATGATATACAGCAACAAACGCCACTGAATTACAAGCTCCAGAATTTGGACAGGCACATACAGAATTTGGCGGAGTTATGCATGCTTGCTGGCGCCCAACCCTCACCCTTACCTTGGACAGTAATGTAACTGCGCAACGTAAGAAGAAATTGTAAAAATCAGTTAAAAGGGCTTGCCAGTAGTTAGCACTTCAATGTTGACACGAATTATCATTGATAGGGTCATAATTATAAATTAACTATTGACGGAATTAGAGATTTTCTTACATAACCCAGGAATAGATAACCTTTAAAGTTAGCTATATTTGGCAAAAACCTATCGGAATTTTGGGTTTTCAATGCTCAGTGATTTTTTTTTACCAAAACATGATTGATCCTCATATAACTACTTTTCATGCTTACCATAATTTCTGTTTAGAACAATTTTTTAAAGTTTTTTTCTTCGTGAAACAATTCTTTCAATCCATAATCACACTTGCCACATGTGGAGCAGGATCTGCTTACCCTTCCGGAGCACTTTAGACCACCCCCAGTTTCGGCGGGGTTCGTGTTGCTCAGTCTATAATTTTCTATGTTGTGTTTTGTGTACTGTTGTTTGTCTGTTTGTCTGTTTGTCTGTTGGTCTTTTTCTTTTTTTAGCCACGGCTTTATCAGTTTATTTTGACTTATGAATTTGAATGTTCCTTTGGTATCTTTCTCCTCTCTTTTAAATCAGTAAACACATATTTCCATATTGCCGATCATGCCATAAGAATATTGAGACAGGAATACGTGAGCATGCTGTTGCTAGGCAATTTCACATCAGAAACTCCTCTTACTGTCCTTATAAAAACGGTGCAGGCAGACGGGATTTATTGATGACCACCTATGACCAAATCAATAGGTTCTGATAACGCCACGTGAATAAAACTTGATTACGCAGCGTCATTTGCGAGACATGTTATCGACCGCAACGTTAACTGCTAATCAAGTCGTCGAATGCCATGGCAGACAGATTCACGCCATAAATGTTTCCAATATACTGAAATGCCAAAATCATCGACTGCAGAAAAACATTTTTAGTCCTAAAGTTTAATCCGCATAATTGCCAAAACACACTGTAATGGGTGGGACAGAGCCAAATCAGAAGGTACAACAAAACAGATCTCAAAACATGCCGAACAGAACTGGTAAACTTTTCTATCAATCATTTAGGCGTTGGTTACAGGCAGTCATTGTCTTCTACGGCGACACATCCATTGATAAGGGGAAAACCAAGGTTTCAGTGCATGTCACATGATTTGAACATTAAACATGACGTAATCAATTCAACTTTCGAACTGCCATCTTTTTGAGACAACGAAGTAATGAACGAAATTTATATTTATACATTTATTTTACATGAATTGCATATTTGAAAGTGGAATTAAAAAGAATAATCTAGTGTTGCGTTTTAAGGGCCGTCAGTATATCAAACAGTACACAACCAATTGATTTAGTGTAGAGACGTCATAAATAGTCGAGAAAAACATGACATTGTACAATGCCAATATATATAAGTATCGACAGGAT